ACGTTGGCAGCTATGGACTTAGTGGCTGTGGTATAAACCTTGGCGACAATGTGACTTCGTGCCTATTAGATAAACCCTGGCGACGATGTGACTTCGTGCCTATTAGATAAACCCTGGCGACGATGTGACTTCGTGCCTATTTGACATAAATTGCTAAGCGAAAGCAATGTTGTCACCCCGGTGTTTGTTTTATTTGACATAAATTGCTGAGGGAAAGCAATGTTGTCACCCCCGGTGTTTGTTTTGTTTGACATAAGTTGCTGAGGGAAAGCAATGTTGTCACCCCGATGTTTGTTTTATTTGACATAAATTGCTGAGGAAAGTAGTGTTGTCACCACATTGGTTGTCTTATTTGACATAAATTGCTGAAGGGAAGCAATGTTGTCACCTTATTGGTTATTTTATGTTAGGTTGTTTTGTTTGACATAAATTACTGAAGGAAAGCAATGTTGTCACCATGATGTTTGTCTTGTTTGACATAAATTGCTGAGGAAAGCAATGTTGTCACCTTATTGGTTGTCTTGTTTGACATAAATTGTTGAGGAAAACAATGTTGTCACCCCTAATAAAAATCCTTAGGCTAGGTCCCTTGTGATAGTTGTTTTAGGGACGTAAAGTGAGGATAATGGGAATGGGTAATTAGGGTTATTTTTGGTTGATGAAATTAATAAATTTATTGTTGATTGAGAACTTAATAAGTTTATTATCATTGTGGTTGAAAACCTATATGCTCACCAGGCTTCCAAGCCTGACCCACTCAACTTTTTATATTACAGGTAGTGGACCCCGAGCATAGTCGGATGATGATGAGTGATTTATGGATTATAGGCCAATAGTTGTAAATAATTGTTGTAAGGCTTATAATGTCTTATTTATGCTTTTGATCTGTATCGGAACATGACATCCTGAGGGTTTGATATAAAAGGAAATTATATATTTCTTAAAGAAAGGTTTTGATAAACTTTTATCATGTTTTGTTTTGGGAACAAATTCCTCAACATCTTTTAAAAGGGTTTACTCTGATTTTATGTTAAAAAGCATAAACTAAATTGGTCTTTTCTGGCTGTGAAATTGGGGATGTCACAAATTACAATGCACAAGCACCACCTTGTTGGTGATACCAGTCACGTAGCAAAGTGTACAAGAGTCTCAGTTGAGGTAAAGGCTTTCTTTAAAGAAGCTTTTGATAAAAGAAAGGAACAAAAAGGCAATGAATAGCATACCACACTTTGATGATGTTTTCGATCTAGATGAAGTAGATGATGACGAATTGCACACTCAAAATAATGAGATTCCATCAAAAGGAAAGAGGCATGTTTCATCCTTCGGATCAACGTAACTAATAAAAACACTAAAGGGCCTATCCATGTGTATTACAACCAATCTGATACATGGGGGAAGAAAAAACGGGCATCTAGTTGGAACTCTACAACATAAAGATGTCCTAAAAAGTGTAAGAACAGATGCGGTCCAAAACTTTTTGACGTTGGATGTATGATGCAGGTGTGGCATTCAATGTCGTGAAATACGACAATCTTAGGCCCGAAATTGAAGCGATAGCTAGACATGGGTTGCGGTATGAAACCGCCTAGCTATCATGAGGTCTGAGTCCCGATGTTGAAGCATGAAAAGATACACATTAAGAAAATTATGAGTGAAAATGAGGCTGAAAACACAATCTATGGATGTTCCTTAATGGCAGATGGATGGAGGGACAGAAAAAGAAGGGCACTAACAAATTTCTTAGTGAATACTCCCCGAGGAAGTATGTTCCTTGAACCGGTTGATGCATCTAGTTATTCACATACCGGTGATATCATGTTCATTTTATTTGATCATTTCATCAAACAAGTCGACCCGCGTGACGTTGTTCAAGTTGTCACAGATAGTGCGAGCAACAATGTTTTTGCTGGCAAGCTTGTGGAAGAGAAATACATGCACATCTATTGGACTCCTTGTGCGGCGCATTGCATAGATTTGATATTTGAAGACATCTTCAAATTGTCACATTTAAAAAGGACACTTGATAAGGCAATCGCGGTGAACACGTATATTTACAGTTGTACTTTGCTACTTAATATGATGAGAGAGTTCATCGGGCAAAAGAACATGATGAGACTCACAATGACCCGATTTGCCACAACTTTCATTGCCCTGAATTGATTTAAGGCTAACATGAGGAATTTAAACAAAAATGTTCACTTCTGAACAATGGATTAAAAGCAAGTTTTCAAAGTTGGATGGAAGCACACACACGACAAATACTATATTGACGCCTAACTCTTGGAACAACATAGATATTTCAGTGAAATTTGGTTGTCCGTTGTAAGTGTGCTAGGTTAGTTGATGGAGAGAGAAATCCTCCAATGGGTTACATATATGGGGTGATGGATAGAGCAAAAGAGATGATTGCTCAAGCTTTCAAAAACAAAGAATATAAGTATGTAGAAATCTTCAAAATCATTGACAGGAGGTGGAATTGCCAATTGCATCAACCTTTGCATGTTGTTGGGCATTAATTGAATCCAGTCCTGTATTATGAAAATCCGAATGTGGAAAATGATGATGAAGTGATGAGTGGATTGTTGTCGTCTATTCATAAATTATCATTAAACGAGGACGAGGAGATGAAGATTCATGCCGAGCTCCCAATATACCGAAGTGTAGAAGGGACTTTCGGGAACCCGATAGTGAAGAAAATGAGAGTAAAAATTGCACCAGGTAAATAATATAAAAATCATATACTTTGTATAATTATAATTAACATATCTTTACATTATTTTGTTACAAAATTGGCAAAGTGTTGGATGCAATATGGAGCATCGGCCTCGACATTAAAAAAGTTTGCGGTCAAGGTGTTAAGCCTTATTTGTAGCTCGTCAGGTTGTCAGAGGAATTGGAGCCTAATTGAATATGTAAGTAAATCATTTTTTGTGAGTTGAAGTATAGATATACTTTGTGTAATTATAATTTTTAACTTACTTTTATATAGCTACATTTTAAGAAAAGAAACCGGGTATAGAAACAAAAGTTGAATGACCTTCTTTATATCAAAAGTATAATCGGACTTTAATAAGGAGGTACAATATGCGTGATACGATTGACCTGATTATATTAGACGATGCAAATGTTCTAGATTGGACTAAGTGGTTGATGGGAGGTGAAGAAGAGGAGGAAGATGCCCTGGTCTTTGAGGGTGAGAATTTGACATGGGGTCAAGTTGTAGATGATGTTGGGGCGTATGAGTCGCTTTATTCTACAAGAACTAGGAATAGGGGGTTGCTGACAAGTCTGCATCGAGCTCCAGAGGAAGATGTTTAATAGACAAGAATGATGACAATAACTTAGGTGAAGGAAAAAATGATGTAGCTTCTTATAAAGATTTTGAGCCGTCATCCGTTGAAGATGATGATGATGAGCCTATCTATGAAGATCTAGATGATCTTTGATTTGGGTTTTTGAGTTTAGAATTTCCTTTTGTTATCTGTTATCTGTTTAACTTGCCACTTTTGTTATTTATGTTTAAAAACTAACTTCTAGATGATTACAATCGGCTACAAACATGTCTAAAAAACTAAAATGGTTAAGCTATTTAGCTAGTTTAATGGTTTGTTTGCTTATTTATTGGTTATAGTAGCTATAATAGTTAAATAACAAATATTTTTTAGTATTTTTATACCTATCGCTAAATACGAAATAGTGGTCGCTATTTCATCGCTATCGCTATGTAGCTTATAGGTAGCCCGTCGCTAGTTACCTCTATTCGTTATCCATAACTATGGTGTGGTCCATACTTAATTATACGTGGAGGTAATCGATCATAAATGTAACATCCCATTTTCAAAAAAAAAAATTTCATTTTTATTAAGGTGAAAACTTTTCAATTTATAATTCCATTATTAAGAAAACTGTAACGCCCGTAGATCCGGGCTAGTCAATTTATAGATAATAAGGGTCGAAAACGACTTTTCGACAAAATATTATTTAGAATAAATAATCTTAACCAGGTTGTAGAATATGTCTCAAGGGTTCTATTCATATAAAGAACGTCGAAATCCGAGTTATAACGAAGAAGTTATGGCCTGTCGAAGTTTTTCGGCAAAACCGACACTACACCGGGAGACGTAAATAGTGAATTTACGATGGAGGACTTTTTAGCCTTAGCGATCTAAACGAAAGTCGTGGTGTACGTTAAACCGAGAGCGTCCATAAAAAGAACGCCCAAATCTGACTTCGTATGAGAAAGTTATGATTTTTCTAAGATTTAGCATAGCAGTGCAAGGCCCGAAACTCGAATTTTAGTTCGAGCAGTTTTTGGCCTACGAGACCTAAATGAGAGTTGAATATGCATTAATAGGAACTCAACGATAAAAAGACAGACGAAAACGGAGTCCGTATGAAGGAGTTACGAATTCTTCGCGGTCATTTAACAGTCTAATCTCCTCCTACTGTTAAATTTAAGATCGGTCAAGAATTAGCCAACGAAGTCTAAATGAACGTTGTAGATCTTATTTTTACCTACGCGTGGAAAAGAAGAACGTCGAAAACGGAGCTCGTATGCGAAAGTTATGAATTTTTGAAAATCGGCTGATTTCCACCGTGTGTGCGATGCCACGTGTCAGCACCAGGCTGTGCCTGGGTGTCTCCAGCTGGCTCACAACGTGTGCATCATAAAACTCACGATGTGAGTGACCCTCCAGCCCCCTATAAATAAGAGTTGAAGCCCTCCTCATTCCTCACACCTTCCATCACTTCCCTCTCTCTCTAGAACCTCTCTCTAGCCCCGAAACCCCCCGAAAAGCCTAGGGAACCTCCCTAGCACGAGGCGGAAGCCCCGGAGCGCCCGACGACTCCGAGAAGAAGAGCCTTTCGGTTCGGGAACGCTGCTCCAGCGAAGCCCGGTTTTGAGAAAAACCCGATGTAAGTGAGCTATGCCTAACCTATCTTTAGTGTAGCTTTTGTTTCAATATAGTAATATTATTAGGACCTTATAATGAGTATTTGGGCTATTATTATGAGTTATATAGAGTGTTGTTTAAAGCTTATATAATAATAATAATAGCTAGACTATTAATTAGTCGCGGTTAACGTTAGACTAAACCCTAGTGGTATTGATACTAGGTTTTGTCGAGGGAAAATTATTTTGAGATAACGAAGCGTTGTTCGAGTGCAGAGTCACCACCTTTCAGGTGAGTGCATAGTTACTTTCATCTTACACATAGATATGAAGTATTTAATATAAATTATATGCTATGTGTGCATATTGTCTGTATACTTTCCGTCTATGCTGGGTGAAAAAGATTTTTATACATGTTTTAACTGATTTAAACTGTATATGTATTTTATATCTACAAAATGTGTTGGGTAAAACATGGGTAGATGAAATAGTTGTTGTGTGACAAAAACAAAATGATGAGAGGTGATATAGCCCATGAGATAAGGGTGAGAGGTGAACAACGAGAGAAACCCTTTACCCAAGTGTTGGCCCCGTCATTCAGCAGAGTATGGATGACAACCACAGACTATTCTAGACAGTCCTGTGGAACACTAGCAGGCTCGCAACCTGTAGGTGTATTTGAACTGTGTATTCACCAGTTGTACTCTAAAAACCCATTGACACGTATTGCGAGTGGATTCTCGGAAACGATACTGTTGATAAACGAGATAACCCTGGCGACTATGAGACTTAGTGCCTAAACCCTAGCGACTATGCGACGTAGTGCCTGTTGTATAAACCCTGGCGACTATGAGACTTAGTGCCTATATCCTGGCGACTATGCGACTTAGTGCCTGTAGAGAAAACGCTGGCAACTATGGATTTCGTGCCCATTCCTTAGGATGATCCTTAGGAATGAATGAACGAGGAATAGCGAATTCTTAGGGTAGATCCTTAAGAGTAAAGAAGATAATGGGATGGGTAAATGGGTTGATTGTTTGATGTTTAAACTTAATAATTATATTATTGTGGGTTGAAAACCCTATGTACTCACCAGGTTTCCCAACCTGACCCACTCAAGCTTATTTGTATCACAAGTGTCGATATGAAGCTACTTTACACTGAGAGATTTAAAAGAGATGTAGATCACTAGTGTAAATGAATGTAAGTTCTGTTTATGCTTATGTTTCTGTATTGACGATGACATCCCAAATGTTTTAAAATGAATAAAAATACATTTCTTCGGAAATACTTTGATAATATATTTATCATGTTTTTTTTCTGGGAACAAATTCCGCAACATTTTTATTAAAAGAAGTACTCTGATTTTTATAAAGCATAAACAAAATCGGTCTTTTCTGGCCGTGAAAATGGGGATGTCACAAAAACCATTTATTCCAAATTACAATTGTTCAAAATCAGAGTTTTATAGAAGATGCAGAATCCTCAATGTTGCTGATGCGTGTGTACAGTCCTGCCTTTGCCTTCTCATAAACACCAATGTTACCTGAAACAATAAACAACTGGATAAGCATAAAGCTTAGCGAGTTTCCCCCAAAATAACACCAAATAAACAGATCACATATACAATCAAACATGTCGGTTCCGGTCAACCATCGAGTTGGAATACCCCAGGCCCAGTTAACCTCCGGGTCCAGTTATCCTCAGGATAGAATACTCGAGGTCGAAACACCAATATACAACAGGTCCAATCAGCCGTCGGGCTACAATACCCAGGGTTTGTTGGCCTACCGCCTCAACCCTACCGCTCTTCCCGAGCCTCCGTGCCTACGACTTACAGCTGGCCTACACCGGGTATCTCGGCCTACCGCACAAAGCAGGACCGCCTCAACCCAAACCAAACTAAATATGTCGACATATAAACAATCAGGATCAAGTAGGCACATAATACATGCAAACAAGAATCATACAGCTCACTACTGCCTACAAATCCTCTCATAGCATACAGTCCCGCTACAACTTACCCCCATAGAATGCGTAACCATAAGTAACCAAAGGTGAGATAGCCACCCGAATAGATGGCCCTACTGTAAAGCCACAACTAAAAAAAGGAAAGGGCAAGAGAGCCTAGACCAAGAGTTCTCAGGCTATCCTACATGACCATAGACAGTCCTTAAGGCACTCCATAAATGATAACCAGCTAGCACAGATAACATACAGTTCTACATGTTGTTACCACAAAGCAACATACTCAATACCAGGAGACATATATAACAGATCACTACAACATATCGACATACTCAATACCAGAACACAGATCTAACAAAATCACTACAACATAACAACATACTCAAACCAGAACACAGATTTAACAGATCACTACAGCATAACAACATACTCAATACCACAACACAGATCTAACAGCTCACTACAGCATAACAACATACTCAATACCAGAACACAGGTCTAACATATCACTATAGCGTAGCAACATAACTAAATATCAACAATCCAAGGAATGCATGGCCGCATATACTCAGAGTTGAGATAGTCACCCAGACAAGTTATCCTACTCTAGAACCACAACCAAACAAGGAACAGGTAAGAGAGCTTAGATGAAAAGTCCTCAGTCTATCCTACATGATTATATATAATCCCTAGGGCATCCCTCTACTAGCAGATAACCAAAACTAGTGGGTCGGCATTGGTGCCTTTGAACCACGGGTACAATGAGGCGAAACTCACCTTGATATGCGCGTGGATAATCATTGTAGCAACGAAGAACTCTACCAGCTTCAACTCACTTCCAATCAACTACATGAAGATACTTGAGTCAATAACTGATCACAGGTCATAGTCACTTGCAACAGTGACCACCTCACATGAAATGACGATTAGGGTTTCACATAAAATGACGATTAGGGTTAAGTAAGAACACTTAACCCATTAAGTACTTAATCACATAGGGGTATGACTGATTAACGTTTGAATTAGTTGTTCTCGGGTGAAATAAATAATCCAATCAACATCCTAAATACGTGCCCGATCATTGTCCAAATAGAGCTCCCCGATTTTAGGGTCTTTCACATAAAATGATAACTAGGGTTAGTGTTCCACACATAACCCCTTACACTACAACAAAAAGACCCTTTTACGACGCGCAAACGACGACACTCATTGATTTATGTTACGTAAAAGAGAGTGACATTAAAAAAGTGTCATCTCTTCAAAAAATTTAAGGATTTAGGTCACGCATTATTGCGTGCCCTTAAATTAGTGTCTAATGTAAAAAAATTAAAAACACGAAGGGCACTTTATCTAAAATGTGCGTCCTCTATAAGTGTCGCTTTATAATTTTAAAGAAACGCGTGTTTAGTAGATACGGGGGTGTTGGGTTTATGTGTTGCGTCTTTGGGCTCGGTTA